CTGAGAGTCTCCAGACTGATCTGTGAGTGAAACCTTGAAAGCTCGCGAGATCAGGATGGTCTCACCAGGCTAATCCATGGCAGGATTCCTAGGTGACGTCCTCAAGGTTCGGTGTCCTGCACCTTTTAGATGTATCTCCGCCTCAACCTCAATTAAATATTCTGATCATTAATGGGACTGTGGAGAACTTGGCTGAATAACCAGGAGGTAATTCAGCAATTTGACTCAGATGTGGAAGCAGAGAAACGTCTGAGAGGTTAAGGAGACCAGACCTCAAAGGCCGGAACTCAGGAAGCCTGTTCTATGGAGTCTGGTCAACTGATGATGATGTCAGGAAACATTAATAACTCCTAAAAATGTGTTCCCGCCAATTTCTCCCATTTATAAAGTCTCCAGTATAGTCAGAGCGTCCACCACGCCCCATTATGTCCCAGTTCTATTGAAATGTTTGCAGCAATCCTCAAACTCCTTACATATATATGTTGATGTGTGAAATGAGACACCTCATTGATTACCGGTGAGAGCAGCTTAATGGTGAAGAAACTTTAAAATATTTTGCAGATTTATAGTTTGAATTTAGCTGCTTTATGAGACAACATGATAATTAGATAGATTTGATTTCAAATGTTTAATCCGGATTATCCATAATCTGTCATCTAAGCCAATGGTTCCCAACTCTGCTTCTCAGGGATATGTCTCTGTTCCAGCAAACCTGATTCAAATAACGGGCCTTTTTTTGCAATTAAGTTTTGCAGAAGCCTGTTAATCATCTTTTCTTTTCTTGTGTGATGCAACAAGGAAACACCTAAAACATGCCGGACAGAGGTCCCTAAGGGAAAAGGTTAGGGAACCACAGGTCTAAGCCAAGATCAGATAGATATCAGATATCACAGTCTAATTAGGGGGATGTCCAGGTTAATTGATAATATCCTTCATTTTGTGAAAAGTCATTCTACCATCAACATCTCCAGATGGTTCAGAAAGAACCAGCCTTTTTATTTGTTTACTGACTCTGATGCTGTTACCCCAACAGATGATGGCAGAAGAGATCAAACTCTAACAGACTTACAGAAGAAATGCAGCATCTTGTTGCAAACACCGAAGGAAGCTTTCTGCAGAGGTACAGGCTGCTCTGTTCCTTCTTGTAGACGGTTTAACAGCATCTCCAGTCCAGCTTGTTTTCAAGGTGAACATCGAGGTATTTATATTCCTTCAACTCTCCTTCAATGTTCCTGCAGGAGCCATTTGTCCTTTCCTGAGTTTATCGCCACCAGGGGGCGTTTTTCATTTTGAGTTTCCAACTGTCAGGTGGGGTTATTTAAGGTCAACCATGGTTCTGTTCAGGTGTTGTTGATGAGAGGAGGCAACAGTTTTCTACTGTGTTTGATTTAGATTATGTTGAATTTATGTATTTATGTAAAGGCAGTTAGTAAAACGATGGACATTGTTACGATAATAAATTACTTTATCATAAGTCAAATGAAAGATTGGCATTATAATCTTAATTGAGGTAAAACCAACGCCTTCAGGAATAAGAACCAATAGCCTAAAATATAGGATTTTCAGTTTCCCCACAAAGTAAAACATGCAGTTTGGTTTTACAGCGGCTTTTCATTTGATCATGTTAGTAAAGTTCATGTCTCTGAGTTTACCTGAGGTGCACAATCTGACCAGGATAAGCACATATTTATTTGCTTGTTATTTCCAGACCTAAATAGGTTATTCCAAATGAATCTACGTCTTTATTAAAAGTTGCCTAAAAAAAATGTATAGAGTTTGTAAAGTTTATAAAGATCTAGGATAAGAAATTATAATACATACAAATGTTAAAGATTCAATTCAATTCAGTTTTTTTATATAGCGCCAGTTCACAACACAAGGCACTTTATAAATTGATTCAAAGTTTTCTATCTAAGGAAAATCAGTTGATTGCATCAACTCATTTATTTTAAAGCAATCCCTCACAATAAGCACATTTGTAGTGACAGTGGAGAGGAAAAACTTGCTTTTAACAGGAAGATCCAGCAGAACCAGGCTCAGTGTGAGCAGCCATCTGCCGAGGCTGACTGGGGTTCAAGGAGACAGAAGGAGAGACACAAAAGGCAACAGTAATCATGCTCCACAGGCGGCCACGTCCAGGAAACACACAGCCAGGAAGATGAGCTCCAAGGCAGTTCCCATGTCAGAGGGTGAAGAGAGCACAGAGAAACAGGACTACTATGAGCATAACGTTAGAGATTGAACTAACAAATTCTGCAGAATAGGAGAATAGAAATAGAATGAAGTGGAATTATGAAAAAGGGGTCCCTATGTCCTCCAGCAGTCTAAGCCTATAGCAGCAGAACTATAGAGATAGCTCAGGATAACCTGAGCC